TTTGCTGGAGTAATAATGTTGTTGATCAGATTTAACATTAAGGGGGAAGAGAGGGAGATGTGGCGTGACTTCAAAGACATTGTCGAGCAGCACCTAAAACACAAAAACTGATTAGATCTGAGCACTTTTAGACGAGTATGATGACTCTATTAATGGAGGAAAGAGAAAAAAAAGAGTGACATCGTGGTCAACCATGACTGTTCCGAAGCTAACCATCATCGCAGACAATTGGAGAGAATCAAAGGCATGGATTTTACCCAAATAATTACAACAAAAAAAATTAAACCTAAAAGAAGATTCACAACCCCCACCCCCTGTATTGTCTTCCCCAAAGACTCTGCCCATTTGCAGAAACATTTGCACACCCCATCCTCCCCTATAATTTTCTTCTCCAAACTCTCCGATTCTGTTTAGTGCACACACCTACACACTTTCTCTTTCCATCATTTTAGTGTAAGTATCTTTATTCACTTGTGTAAGAATTTAACTTTGCAAGGAAATTGGTGAGGTAGATATTTGTGCTTCTCACAAAGATGACTGCTTTTTGCAGTCATGAGAAGAGTCATGAGAAGAGGCAGTGATGTTTTGCTGGAATTTGGAGAAAAAAAAATTAAAAGGAAGAATAAAAAAGTTTGTAGAAATGGTGGCAAAAGGGTAAGGATGGGTTAAATTATTTTGGATTTAAGATACATTGATGGGTCGGGCATGGGTTTAAAATGGGGTATGGGTCATTTTTTTAGAAATTGGGTCAATTTTGTTTGATTTGGGGATTTCCGTCAATTGAGGGGTATAAATAGTGAAATTAGTAACGGCGAGGGTATAAATAACTTTGTTTTAATGGTAGGGGTATAGTCAACTAATAAGCTAAAGTTGAGGGGTATTTTTGACCCTTTTCCCTAAAATAAATTTATGTAATTACAAGGGGAAATATTTTTAAATTTCAAAGTAAATGAATATTTACATTTTAGGACTAAAACATGCTTAATGCACTTCAAGCAATGTCCATACTCATACATGATTTGCTTATTTTACACTATTATTTGTTATCCAATATGAAATTCGTTATCTCATGTATTAAGGTTAGCAAAACAAAAACAGAAAAAAGATGAAACAGACAGAAATAATAATTCGAGTCCACAGAACCCACTGTGTTTCCTTAAGAAATTTAATCCCCTCAAGTACCCGAGGTTACAGATTAATTCCTCCCAAGATAAAACAGATTAACTATTAGAGAAGTAGCGGTACCTCAAACTTCACTAATTTCAGCGAACGCAGGAACAGTAACGAGAGCACACATAGACTCAGTCGATCGACAATTTTGTTTATGTAAGAAAATGTATGCAGAGAGGAAAAAATTTCAGTGAATGAAAAACGGGAAAAACCTCTTATTTATAGCCAATTGCAGCAAGGAATGCATCTGTTCGGACAGTGGTGTCTTTCCAGAACGTTGTATATTTTTGGGAAAAGTAACGTCTTTTTGAAAGGAACATGTCCCTTTAGAACGACGTTACTGTTACACGCGAATTTCAAATAAATCATGTTACGCGAAATTAATTATGTTAATTAACTAACATCCTAGATTAATTTATAAGAGAAAGGAAATCAATTAATGAGATTGATTAAATAAATTTTGTCCAAAAAATATTATCAATCACATCATTTGCCAAATCCAAACCCAAATACGAAGCTGAGCGAGCGACGACGACGACGGCGCGAGGGGGCACCTTCTTCTTAACCTTTTAAGAACTAAAGGAAGTGTTTCCTAATATAAGGACAACAATTTTCCTTTCTTCTACCAATATGGGAGAAATGACTTTTCATTTGCAATTTGTAATGACTTTTCATTTTCCCTCCAAAATTGGTTCCCCCACATTTTCCATTTTCTCTTCTTATTTCCCATTCACACATTGCTAAAACCCAACAATCCCTCACATGAATGGAGGATGAATATTGTTAAAACATATGCATGAAAAAACTTGTGTGTCTCGTAAGTAAGGGTTAATCGCATCTGGATAAGTGGGTTTCCCTTTAAACTTTCCGTAGTAAACATATATCAGATATACTCGGTCAATCGGTAGTTTGATATCTTTGAATCGTCGAGCTTTGGTGTATACCTAGACAACATAAGTCACACAATCAACCCTTGAACTATTTTTTATTCTCATTGTTTTGTTCGTTTCAGCCATGAATGACGTCTTGGTTAATAAGTGCTTAGAGAACTGGCCTTATCGAATTCTCCTTGAAGCGGCTTACACTTCACACTTACATAGGTGGTTTCTAACTGTGTTATTCCGTAGATACACTATTTGATATACCATGTATCAAACTTAGAAATCATTAAAAAGTCCTTATGTCTTTATCTTGGTTACTGAACATTGTCTCATCATGAGAATGGACAATAAAATAAATTTTGACAATGTTGAGCAATCATCTATGACTTTGTTTCATCTCCTTGAACCTAGATCTTGGGATCTCCAGTCTTATAGGTAGAGTTACCGCCACGATGACTTGTTCTCGGCCATAGTCCCATTCTCGTCGATGATCTCTCAACTCCCTCTCTAGTTAGGCCTTTTGTAAGTGGATCCGACACATTATCATTTGACTTTACATAGTCAATTGTGATAATTCCACTAGAGAGTAGTTGTCTAACAGAGTTATGTCTTCGTCGTATGTGACGAGACTTCCCGTTATACATAAAACTTTCAGCCCTTCCTATTGCAGCTTGACTATCACAGTGTATGCATATAGGGGCCATTGGTTTGGGCCAAAACGGAATATCTTCTAAGAAATTTCGGAGCCATTCAGCTTCTTCACCTGCCTTGTCTAATGCAATGAATTCAGACTCCATTATAGAGCGAGTTATACATGTTTGTTTGAATGATTTCCAAGATATTGCTCCTCCACCAATAGTGAAAACATATCCACTCGTGGATTTTGTTTCAGTTGACCCAGTAATCCAATTTGCATCACTATATCCTTCAAGAACTGCTGGATATTTGTTGTAATGCAAAGCATAGTTTTAAGTGTCATCTAAGTACCCCAAAACTCTCTTCATTGCCATCCAATGATTTTGATTGGGATTACTTGTGTATCGACTCAGTTTATTATAGCGCAGGCTATGTCTGGTCGTGTACAATTCATGACATACATCAAACTTCCCAATACTCTGGCACAATCCAATTGAGACTAACTTTCACCTTTATTCTTAGCAAGATTAAGGTTCACATCAATTGGTTTTTGCCTTTTTGAAATTCAAATACTTGAACTTTTCAAGTACCTTTTGAATATAATGAGATTGAGACAATGCTAGACCGTTAGGAGTTTTGTGAATCTTAATTCCCAATATCAAATCGGCAACTCCTAGATCTTTCATATCAAACTTACTAGCGAGCATACGCTTAGTAGCTTTTACATTAGCAATGTCCTTGCTCATTATCAGCATGTCATCCACATATAGGCATACAATGACCTCCTGATTCGGAGTGTTTTTAATGTAGACACATTTATCACATTTATTGATCTTAAATCCATTTGACAACATGGTTTGATCAAACTTTGCATGCCATTATTTCGGTGCTTGTTTTAGTCCATAAAGTGACTTACCAAGTTTGGATACTTTCTTTTCTTTACCGGAAACTACGAAGCCCTCAGGCTGTTCCATGTAAATCTCTTCCTTCAGCTCTCTATTTAAGAAGGCGGTTTTCACATCCATTTGATGGATTTCAAGACCGTATACTGCAGCTAGGGTAATTAACATCCAAATTGATGTAATCCTAGTCACTGGCGAGTATGTGTCAAAATAATCAAGACCTTCTTTATGTCTAAAGCCTTTGACAATAAGTCTTGCTTTATATTTATCAATAGTTCCATCATCTTTCATCTTTCTTTTGAAGATCTATTTCGAATCCAAGGGTTTGTTCCCTGGAGGAAGATCAACCAACTCCCAAGTATGATTGCTTAAGATTGATTCAATCTCACTATTGATAGCCTCCTTCCAAGAGGTTGAGTTGCTAGACAACATAACTTCCTTGAATGTTTGAGGCTCACTTTCAAGAAGGAATGTTACAAAATCAGATCCAAATGAAGTAGTTGTCCTTTGACGTTTACTGCACCTTGGACTATCTTCATTAGGTTCATTCTCTTTTGGTTTTTCTCGAGGTCGTTTAGACCCCCCATTAGATGACTCAAGTCTAGTTTTATACGGATAGATATGTTCAAAGAATTTAGCATTATCTGATTCTATTACCGTATTGTCATGAATATCTGAATGTTCGGACTTATGAACCAAAAATCGACATGTCTTACTATTTGTGGCATATCCAATGAATACACGATCCACAGTCTAAGGCCCTATTTTCACCCTCTTAGGTATAGGAACTTGGACTTTGGCTAGACACCCCCACACTTTGAAATATTTCAAGTTGGATTTTCTACCTTTCCATTTCTCATATGGAATAATATGTGTCTTGGTGTGAGACACTCTATTGAGTATTCGATTTGCTGTAAGGATAGATTACCCCCACAAGTTTTGTGGTAAACCTGAACTTATAAGTAAGGCATTCATCATCTCCTTTAAAGTTTAGTTTTTCCTTTCCACAATTCCATTTAGATTGAGGAGAGTAAGGAGCAGTAGTTTGATGGATGATTCCATTTTCCAAATATATTTCTGCAAATGGAGATTCATATTCTCCACCTCTCTTTCTTCTGATCATTTTAATCTTTTTATCCAACTGATTTTCAACTTCAGTTTTATATTGCCTAAATGCATCTATTGCTTCATCCTTACCATTTTAGCAAAATAGACATAACAATATCTAGTGCAATCGTCAATAAAAGTTATGAAATACTTTTTCCCACCATGTGATGGTGTTGACTTCATGTCACAAATGTCAGTGTGAATCAGTTCTAAGGGGTATGAATTCCTTTCAACAGATTTATAAGGATGCTTAGCATACTTAGATTCAACGCAAACTTGACATTTTAATTTATTGCACTCAAATTTAGGCAAAAACATTTAAGTTAATCAGTTTTCGCAAGGTTTTGTTATTGATGTGTCCCAAATGTTCATGCCATAAACATTTAGACTCAAGCAAGTAAGAAGAAGCAAAATCTTTATTTCTATCAACTGCAATTACATTGAGTTTGAAGAGGCCCTCAGTGAGGTAACCTTTTCCTACATACATCTCATTCTTACTGACTTCAACTTTATCAGAAACAAATACACATTTGAATCCATTCTTGGTAAGAACTAGTATAGAAACTAAGTTCTTTCGCAATTCTGGAACATACAAGACCCTGTTCAAAGTCACCACCTTGCCCGATGTCATCTTCAAGTGGACATTGCCAGTTCCTTCAACCTTTGTTGCAATGGAGTTCTCCATAAATAACTTCTCGTCTGATGGTGCTGGAGTATATAATGCAAATAATTCTTTGTTGGCACAAACATGGCATGAGGCACCAGAATCTATCCACCATTCTCTTGGATTTCCAACCAAGTTGCATTCTGAAAGCATTGCACAGAGATCATCTATCTCTTCTTTGAATTCAGCCTAAATTTGCTTGATCCTTCTTCTTGTCCTTCTTGGGGACCCCGACATTCAGTAGCCCTATGACCACGTTTGCCACAATTGAAGCAGTTTTCATTGAATTTCTTCGTAGGAAGATTGCTCTTTGGACCAGATGCTTTCTTTCTTTTCTTTGATTTTGTGGGATCTTCTTCAACAATATTTACTCAAGATATTGCTGAATTACCACATGACCTCTTTTCTGCGGCCTTGTTATCCTCTTCGATTCTCAGCCTTACCATGAGATCTTCAATAGTCATCTCCGTGCGTTTATGTTTCAAGTAGTTTTTGAAGTCCTTCCACAAAGGTGGTAACTTCTCAATAATGGCTGCCACTTGAAAAACATCATTCTCAATCAATCCTACATTAAAGATTATGTGAGTATTAAGAATAGACTTAATATGTTTAACATAGGCATTAAATAAATCTATACCTTCAGCAAGGAGATCATGGATTATGACCTGCAGTTCTTGAACTTGGGTGACGACGGTCTTATTGTCTATCATCTTATAGTCCAAAAACTTTGTCACAATGAACTTCTTCATTCCGACATCCTCTGTTTTGTACTTCTTTTCTAGAGCATCCTAGAATTCTTTTGAGGTCTTGACACTACTTTACACATTGTACAGATCATCTTGCAGGTCACTCAGAATATAGTTTTTACACAAAAAATCTGAATGTGTCCATGCTTCTTTCACCAAGAATCGTTCTTCGGTCATTTTCATCTGACATAACATGAACATTCTCATTAATGAACCTCTGCAGACTCAACGTAGTCAGATAGAAGAACATCTTCTGTTACCAACTCTTGAAGTCGACTCCAGAAAACTTTGCAAGTTTCTCAGCCGGTGCAAGGGCAGCAGTTAAGGGTGTTCACGGTTTGGATAAAAACCGATCCAAACCGAAAAATCAAACCAAATCGATAAAATAAAACCGATTTTATTGGGTTTGGTTTGGTTTGGTTTTTAGATTTTTGAAAAACCGATAGTATTTGGTTTTGGTTATGGTTTTATTCGAAAAAATCGAAGAAATAACTGAACCGAACCGATGAATTATATACATATATTTTATTAATATACATACTTAATATATGTTTTTATAAACAATTTTAAAGATCTTATACATATTTTTTATTAAAATTTCTTTTTAATTTACTAATTGAAAGCAAAAATGGCCAAGATGAAACATCTATTATATGAGTGTCTATGACAATTCTTTGTGAGACTGAAAATGTTATTGTCTCTTCCTTCTAGGACAATATAGTGAATTTTAAAGCTTTATTGATAGTAAATTTAGTGATCGAAAGTTCAGTAATTTAAGTCATTCTAACTATATATTTTTCGTTTTGAATTGGATTGTTGTCATTTTTTCACTATTTTGAATGAATTGTTTCTTTTATTTTGTGTATGGTTAATAACCGAATAACCGAACCAACCAAACCAAAACCGATAAATGTATATTATATTTGGTTTGGTTTGGTTTTGATAATTTTACAACCGATTAAGTTGGTTTGGTTTTGGTTTTGACCAATAACCGATCCAAACCGACTCGTGAACACCCTAGCAGCAGTTGAACAATTGCAACTAGGAGCGTTCACGGTTTGGATAAAAACCGATCCAAACCGAAAAACCAAACCAAACCGATAAAATAAAACCGATTTTATTTGGGTTTGGTTTGGTTTGAGATTTTTGAAAACCAG